GTGGCTCGCATGGAACTCTGCATCGTGGCCTCATGTGGAAGTTCCTGCCTCCATCTACAGCCACCCCTCTGCTGCTTGTTGCAGCTCGAGCACACCAGCTCACCTACACTGTAAAATCACTCCATGCTAGACAATCGCAAGTGGTAATATTGGAGTCATTCAGCCATACGTGGTCGAGCCAGAAACTGATTCTGAAGAAGAGTAACGATAGAGACCCCAGAAATCTGAATCTGTGTTTTTGTCATCAGGACACTGCAGTTCCAAGGTGGAAAAGCTCAGACATGGTGTTAACTGCTTAGTTTGCTCATGATGTGTCCTCCAGCACACAAAAAAACACCATATGGACGTGTTAACAAGGTGAAAAGAAACAACCTCTCACTGAAGGCGGTGTCTTAGACGACAGAAGCAGCTACGACTGGTTTCCACACAGGGTTTAGGAAAGGTTTGAAGCTGCATTTTGAATTTGGACAGTTATTGTTTCACAGAGAGGGAAGGGTCAAAGTTGGCTCAACCAAGAGCACATCGACAAGACGGAAAATCTGAGTGTCGCACAATATCATAAATGCTGCCGGGAAATTTGGCCTCTCTGCTCCTCATGAGGGAGACAATTAATCATTCTAGTCTGATCTTAAAAGTCCTTCAGCTGTATATAAATACTGTCCGTATTTACAAGTACATAACAAATAGGCTGTATAAAACTTGTTTGGATGTTTTTCCGTTATCACAATTTAAAGCATTCTGCTCATGAAAACCCATGAAGCTTTAACAGCAGCGCTGATAGAACAGATGGATGTTAAGAGATTAGTAAATATATGTACATAAGGACAGATTCTTTTTAACATTTTGAAAGACATGTATCCGCTTCTTATTTTATCTGGTGCTTGAATGCATAATGAATAATAAGGTTTNCCTTGGCCTCTCTCTGAACTCGGTTGTGACCTTGTCTGGACTCCATTTTGATTGAAATTCCTCTGGTCTCGACAAAGACGCACTCATCTGGTGGTCTGGAGTGCCGTTCTTTGCTTTACAGTCTCGCTGCCACTTATTTTGAAATATGACTGAAAGATGATTTCAAAACTTGAGCAATTCATCATATAATATGGGCATTTAATATCCCTTTTTTTTTTTTTTTTCAACATCTCTCCACTTCTCAGCCGTGACATACTGTAGTTGGCTGTTACACTATATTTAGAGAAGCGGTCGGCCCTGGTAGCCAAACATCAGGGCGCTGACCTGCCCGACTCGGTGTGTGCGGATGGAAGTTAACCTGAGATCTGCTTAGCTGATGTTGACTTTGGAACGCTTCACTCTTGTTGAATGAGGAACTTTCAGCACTATATTACAGCAGCAGCCTTTTTACCTGCAGGTAGCTGAGACGCTCTAACTCCCACCGGGACGCTATTTTGCAGCGTAAGGTGATTATCTCCAAAAACTAAGGGAAGAAAAACGGGGGGGGGAAGCGAGAGGTTTTCTTAAGATCTCTCTGAGGTTTCGGTGTGAGCTTGTCTCAGCTCAGCACTCCCGGGAAGAGACCTCGTCAGAGACGGGTTTCCCGACAGTTCCAGGCTGTCCTGGGAAGTTGAATGCCCGCCAAGTGAGCTCCAATTCGTGCAACTCGGCAGGCAGCAGCAGTCGGACTCGGATTTGGACCCGTGCCACTCATTCACGTGGTATCCTGTTGTTTTAGGCTTGTCATGATAGCCCCTGGTGCATGATTGAAAACATGTTGGAGTAGCTGGTGCTATTCTGGGCTGGGGGAAGCAGCGTCCCTATTAAGGCAATTGACTGTCAAAAGCACTGAAGCTGTATGAAAGTGAGTAGAAGAGGAAGCAGTGGTGTGTAAAATAATCAGACCAGTCTTAACAGGTTCCTGCGAGGAATTTCTCATCCTTCGATGTGATCTTCTAGTTGTACAAGTCAGAGTCACAGTACCTTTCAGAAATGTATTTATCCTTGTATATCATTTTTGTGGTACCGTTTGTGAGACAAGGCCTGTGTTTGCTTCCCCTCCCCTCCCCTGCTCTTTTTTTATTGGACAACAGCGTGTTAAAAAGTTCCGGTTTGCCCTGACACCGCAACGTGCCCCTCTGACTCCAGCACATCTCCTCGCCTCCCTAAACTGAACCAGATGCAGCTTTTCCGTATGAAACTTTCACTCCCTTTTATGTCCCTCACTGATCCTTTAGAGAAGGGGGGAAAAAATTACATGTCATATTGTGTCTTCTTAATGCACTCCAAATGCAGCGCGGCTCATCCGTCTGTCACCGACCAGCCACACGTTTGATACAGTCCCAGTGCCGCAAACAGTTGTAGCCTTTGAAGAAATCCCTCACACGCAGATTTGTATCTGTCCTGCGTTAACCCTGCTGTCAGTCTTCTCTGCTATGTTACAAACTACACTCAATTAATACAGTGTAACGCTAAACTCTTGCTGAAACCATCTGGCCGGAGAACAATGCTTTCAACACAACAAGACAATCATAAGGAAACACTTGGAGACACTTAATATCTAATATGACTAAATGATGGGGTCTTTTTTTTTTTTTTGAAGGAAAATGAGAGTTTGTTTTCATTTTGCTGTGGTTTTCATGTTTGTCAGTCTCCTGCTGTTCACATCACTGAGACTCACTGGACACTGATGCTGCCTCTGGTTCTTATTACCAGCAGGCTGAAACCACTTTCGTGAGCAATTGTAGCTGTTGCTGCATTGTAGTTTGTTTTATACTATTGCCATTTTTTTTGCTATTTCTTTTTTAATGCATTAAAGTAATAAGTCGCCTTTGAGGATGTTTTAGTGGACATCAGCTGCCAGCTGTACATTATAGCAAAAAATATACAATAATCAGTAACAGCTAAACAGACAGAACTCAAAATCAATATAAAGACATAGAAGGGAGGAATGGAAGCATAAGTTAACAGAAAGTTCACTCAGTTTTTGGTTAGGTTTTGGTATAAACTACTTGGTTTTGGTCAGAATACAATTCTTTCACCGCATATTTGAAGCTTGTCCTCCATATTCTGGTTACCAGGGTGATGAGTTCTGCCAAATCTGATGTATGATTGGTCGGCTGAACAGGAATGATAGTAAAGAAATACAATTTTAAAAATCATTTTCACTGCAAATGTCTACTGTTTTCAAATATGACTTTTTGTTCTCGTTGATTTCTAATAATTGGTCGAGGTATCAGACCTGGAAAAGACAGTTTGACTCCTACTTTGAATCATATTGATTGGGCTGCATGGTGACTCGGTGGTTCGCACCATCGTCTCACAGTTGGAAGATCACCGGTTCACGTCCCGATTAGGACGCCTGGGAGTAATTACCTTAATAATCACCTTAATTGGTGATTCTAAATTATCCGTAGGTGTGAATGTGCTTCACCATTCACTGTCTGTCTCTAAGTGTAGCCCTGTGATAGACTGGTGACCTGTCCAGGTGAACCTGCCTTCACCCTGAGTCAGCTGGGATAGGCTCCAGCCCCTCATGACCCCAGTGAGGATTAAGCGGTGTATAGATGATGGATGGATGTTTAGATTCTTACTGATCACACACAAGACCCTCAAGGAGGGTTAGGATTAGTCCCACATTCATTACACAACATGAAAAACAGTCCTCAAACCTACAGCCATAGTCGTAGAGAACTGCAGTGACTCCAGCGACGAAAAGAACAAGGAGTCCTGCAGCAGGTGGTTCGGCCTCGAGGCTCGAGCTCAACATCATGCAGCCGGTCTGGGATTGCATAAGGACACACCAGCAAACTGGATCTCCAGGAGGTTTGGAACAACTCATCTGCCAAGTACTTAAAAAACTATGTTCATGTGCCAGAGGAGAATAGGTGCAGTATTAACAGCAAGGTATCCGTTTGAATTTTACCTCACTTAACCTGTTTGTCATATTAAAGCTAATAGATAAATAATATTCATTGCATTTTTGAAAGCGTATTCGCTTTCATTTGAGTGCATGAAAATATTTACCCAGTTCTGTGTGCTGTTTTGTATAATCGGAGAGAGAGCTGTCAGAAGGCTTTAACCTAATATGTCAGTCTGCGTTTGACCAAAGGTTTCCAGCCACTGTTGACAAATTTCTGGCTCCAGACTTGTGGCGCCTACTTAAAGTGAGTCATGAACATAAAGAAAAAAGTGTGACTGCATAATATAATCATGAATATTCAATCAATTAGTTCAAAATGACAAGTGGATGTATTTCTGCAGCACATTTTGCTCCTGATGATGTTGATGCTGGTTTGTTGGTTTCATTGTTTCCATTCAGGAAGACTACAAGAAAGGGAACAGTGAGTATGGCTGAGAGCTTTGGATAGGAAACCGGTGGAGTAGGAGCAGAGCTTCAGTCGGCTACCTGAGTAAAAGTCACCAAAAAAAAAACAAAAAAACTTTTTTTTCTTACCAATCCAACTGTGACGGTTTCCAACGGCTGCTCGTACAGGAATTCTCCCTTTCCGATGTCAACTCTTAAACGTTCTGTTTTTAGATTTCCTCATTATGTATGACTCTCAGGGCTTTTTCCCCTCTCACATTTTTACTATTTTTCTCATCAACGGGAGGGGCAGCTCCAGATGTAGACAGAAAGAGAGAGAGAGAGGACGTCTATTTCTAGTGTTCATCGTTAGCATGAGAAGAGAGGGACCCAGAAACAGAGCTGTTTTGACAGTTGTGTAGGGAAGCACACACACACACACACACACACACACACACACACACACACACACGGCCAGGTCTCTGTAATCACGGTTTTGCCGAGTGCTGGTTATACCTTCCAGAGGAGTTCACGCCCCCTTGAACTGTTTTGGCTGCCTTTGTGGTCCACTTGTGACGGTGAGCGAGGCAGAGAGAGAGAGAGAGAGTGAAGGAAGGGGGAGGGAGCAGTGCTGCTTGTGGGAGGAGATGGAGGAGGGAGAGGACGGGAGGAAGGAGAAGCCTTCTCAGTTTCTGTGAGTCCTGCTTGCTGTAGGCTACAGAATGAGCGCAGTTGCTTTCCTCTCAGTCTGAGAGGCAGCTGCTGTTTTTTTTTTTCTTTTTCTTTTTTTTTTTATTCAGTTTTTCCTTCCCTTCTTGTGCCAGACATCAGTAGGAGACACTGCAGACTCCTTTTCATCACAGTTCTTTTTGGACCTCACTCCCACTCCTGTGTTGTTATTTTTTTGTTGCCTGGGAAGTACCATGCCGGTAGTTGGCGTAGCTTCCAAGCTCAGGCAACCCTCGGCGGTGGGCACCAAGCCGGTGCACACCGCTCTCCCCATCCCCAGTGCGGTCAGGGCGGCCACCTCGCAGGGCTACATGGCCCGGCAGCAGGAGCTCAGGGCAAGCGAGGGCACCCCGGGGCTCTCCTGCCAGCTGTCAATCAAGTCCGAGTACCAGCAGGAGAGGACACCCGAAGTGAAGTCCAGAGCCGAGACGGAGGAGAGCAAGATCTGCAAGGTTAGTGGAGCCGGACCGACTCCTGCTGCGTATCTGTCTGATGCATCTGTGAGAGCAGGAAGCATGGTGGCGCTCCACAGGTGTCAGGATGAAAGAAGGCAGCAGTGTCAGACTCTCTTTCTCTGCTGTCTTTCTCTGCTGTTGGTGGGAGCAGGTGTCTGTTGTGTGAGCGATGAGTCATGTGTGCTACGGTGAGATGATGTCGCTGGTTTCTGGTCATCAGCTCAGAGGGGAAACTAGATGAGTAATGTATCGCTGGTAGAGTATTACCTCATCCTGCTGCCCGTTTAGTCTGCACATACTTTGCAAATCGGTGCATGTGTGTCAGTGGCAGCAGAGTGGAGAGGTTCAACTGTGTGCGCTCAAGTGTTCAGGCAGGACTATTAAGATCCCTACCTGGGAAGTGAACCGTGGCTGCAGTAATAGGTGCTACCTGAGAAGCAAAGATTAGGAGAACATGGTCAGAATACGCTTTCTCCATTCTGTCTCCCTTGAAGGGTAATATTTCAACTCGATTACCGGTGCTCCATTCATAATACCCCCAATGAGAGTCAAAATGTTGCATATGGTTTAATAAATGCTCAGAGATTGCTGTTAAGTGGTTCACCATACTGAACCCGACCTGTGCCAAGTTCTCTCCTTAATGCAGCAACGCTTGGCTCAGGCTGCAGCAGAGAAGGCGGAGTTGATCCGTCCAAGAGGAGGAAGGAGTTTTCAAAACTCCCCGCCAAACAGTTCGAGCAGCGCTTCAGCCCATCCCACATCCAGAGCTGTCAGAGCACAAACTGAAACTTTCCTGTTTGGCCAGTTGATCTCCTCTCCTCCACCTCTCCTCCTCCTCCACCGGCAGTTGTTTCTTTCTACCGTTTCAAGACTTCCTGACGTGCAGATTAAAAAAAAATAAAAAACTCTCCTTAACCCTGATCCTTTTTTTGGCTCGCAGACTTGTGATACTGAACAAAGCTGCTGATTTTCCTCGTGACACAGAGGAAACATGGGCAGGAGACATCAAAGTGCGGGTCAGCGCTCCCCTGCCTTTAAATCCTCCCAGCGTGTCTGTGACTGAGTCCAAACCGCCTGCAGGGCAACTCCGAAGGGGGCGGCCGGGTATTTCATCATTAACCTGCTGCTGAACTGGCAACTTCGGCTTGACTTTCAGCTTGTTAGCGCAACAGGATTCTTTAAAAAAAACACTCCATTCTGGATCCATTTAAAGTGACTTGTGTCATTATCCATTTCTCATCAGACTCTGAAACCTTCTCCAGGCTTCCCCACATATTCCTACTCAAGCTTGTGTGTTTGGCTTTTTCTTTTAATTTATTTGCCGTTTATGTCGAGCTCTTCTGTAACAGATACGCCGCCAGCGTGCTGCGCCTCTGACCTTTGCTCTCCTTATTGTTGGTGGTTTGTAGGACTTGACCCTCTAATGGACTGAGCATCAGCTAAATTGCTTGAACTGTGCAACCATACTACTGGAGGCTCGTAGGCAGGCAGAAATCTGCTGCCTGCCCCAGCCTGTCAGTGTGGGTAAGGAATGGGTGGTATGGAGGGGGTAATTAGTCTGTCTAATTGTGTTGTATAGTTCCTTAAGAGCTTTACTCTCCAGGCTCTCAGAGGAGGAAAAAAACTGGGGAGAAGGTGGAGTAAACGCTGTCATTACTCCTTCACATTAACCAACACTTCTTGTTTGGTTTGGAGTCCTATTATCAGGCAGGATCAAGTGTAGGATTGTGTGTGTGCACATGTGCAAAGCATGACTGCATGCTTGTTTGTGCAAATGCATCCCTCACCTCCACATGTACAATAGTGCCAGCATGTGTTGGCTTGTTTGCCCGAGGTCAAACACATCCGAACCTGGGAGGTGTTTCCCAAAGTTGGAGCTATTTTTCACCATTTCAGGTACTTGTGGTGGAAATTTCCACCTTTCTGGTCAGTTAAGAGGTTGGTAAGACGAGGATTTGAGCCACGGCGCGTTAATAATTACTTGTGTGTTGTTTTATTGTGGCTGTCATGCAGTAAGCATAACAGTGTAATAGGATCCCAAATTATAAGCAGCCAGAAGACTGAGCATCACAGAACCCTGACAAAACTCTGACTTGTACAGAATGATCATGACACAAGTGCTAGAAAAATAAACAAGAGGGTTAAGCGCAAAGCAGAGAGGAAGAAGGGATTTTTTTTTTCTTTTTTCATTGGTGTGCTGTTTGTAGAAGACGGCAGCCTGATGTTGTTTCGAGAAAAGCCGAGGAGGAAACCCGAGCGAATCTTAAGACGAGCTCCCCTCGAACAAATCCAGCCTAAAGCTGGAGGCCCTTCGCTGTGTTTGGGTTGAGAGGTTTAACATTTATGGAAGAAGAAGTGTCAGAGCTTACTGAGCGACTGCTGCAGTCAGGCTCCATCTGCGAGAGCCAATGCACACAACTGTTGCTAGCGGAGTGTGTAATGGTGTGTAAAGGGCACAATTAAGCTTCTCAGACAAGGTTAATTTTGGATGCTGTTCAGTATCGGTTGCGGCTAATCTCAGCTGCATTAATTCAGTCTGTATTTATTGTGCGGTGGATAATCCCTGGCGGATCTGCCGCACAATAGACTACACCTAATTTCAGAGGAGTGTCCTCAAGTTGTTTTTGCAAGTCTGTGCAGACAGTTGCTGTTTATTACCGTCCACATGAAGCACACGCGTAGACCAACGTCATGGAAGTCTGAGTTTTCTGAACATATTGTAGTTTTGCCGCTGATAGAGAAACAAGACAGTCAGCACATTTTGATTGAACATACTTAATCCAACCTTGTTTCCCAAAAATACAGCTAAACTTCATTCTCATTTACATCGTGAAATGTATTTCCTATCTGAAAGGTAAAACCACAACATAGTGGGATAAGCTTCTAGTGTGAAGGAGTCACACTGTCCACGTGAAGAAGCAGGATGGGAGGACGGAGGCAGCGACAGGATGTTCATCCAGTAGAGCCGGGTTTACAGGACCATTATTCACAGACTTAAGTTTTGTTTTAACTCGTTGCTTCCTTTTACTTATTCACTCTTTCTTTCAGTTTAGTCACCAGAAGTTTTTGGTCAAACATGCTTGAAGCTTCTCCTCTGTTTACTAGATCATGAGTCACATCTAAAATATGATTGGTTGGCTGAAAAGGAGCAACAGAAAAGCATAAAATAAATCAAACAGATGGTGATTTGAGGCTGCAAGGTGGCGCAGTTGGTAGCACTGTTGCCTCGCAGCAAGAAGGTCGCCGGTTCGTGTCCCGGTGGGATCTTTCTGCGTGGAGTCTCCATGTTCTCCCCGTGCAGCGTGGGTTCTCTCCGGGTTCTCCAGCTTCCTCCCACACAGTCCAAAAACATGTTGAGGTTAATTGGTGATTCTAAATTGTCCGTAAGTGTGAATGTGAGTGTGCTTGGTTGTCTGTCTCTAAGTGTAGCCCTGTGATAGACTGGTGACCTGTCCAGGTGAACCTGCCTTCACCCTGAGTCAGCTGGGATAGACTCCAGCCCCCCATGACCCTAGTGAGGATTAAGCTGTGTATAGATAATGGATAGATGGATGGTGATTTGACACATATTTGCAGTATATATGTTCAAATCTGACAGAAAATGTATTTCCATCAAAACGTAATTGAGAATTCAGTTTAGTTGTAGTTTTTGGACAACAGGACTGACTGAATCAGACAAGTATGTTTAATCTAGTGATTAGTATAATCGACTTAACTGCTTGTATATGTGTGCTATAGTTCTCAAGTTCATATTACTGGTTGGTTTTTCCATCAGACAGACCTTCAGTGACAGTGTCTCGCTGTGAGAACCTGCTGTACCATTCCTCTTAGTGCCTTCTGTGCTGAAATCACTAAAAACGCTGCCTCCTGAAAGATGCATCCTAATGGCATCATATACACCTAAAATGAGCCAATTTGGCAGCCTTTGCTTTAGTTTGTATTTTGGCACCCTGTGCAGCTATGGGCTCCCGAGGAAGCTTCCAGAACTAATGTTCATCTCACAAAACATTAACAGGTGTTGTTGTGCAACACCTGCACTCCTCCGAGGCCTCCCGTCTTAATCTATGTATGATTTTGGCCCGTCAAGGACTCCCGTTCAGGAGACGGGAACAAGGGAAGACGTCTGCTCTTCCTGTTGTACTCGCCGCTGACAGTTCACATCAGTCACTGCCTGTGGCACAGCGGGATGACAGGCTGGAATGAAGAGCTTATCTGAGTCGACTCGGCTTTAATGAAGTGTCAGCGTCGCCACCACTGATAGGGAATTATCTCGTGCATCAAGAGTTTTGGCGGCTGTCCAACTCACACAGCCCAGGGACTTATTTAAAGGGTAATTTGGAGTTTCTTTTTGAGGTAAAAACAGAAAATTGCATCACACTCTTTCATTAAATCTTCTGTGGGGAGAAGAAGAAATGATGTTGATTGAATTTATCTTTATTCATCCTTGAAGAATTGCGTGGGAGCTTATGAGATTAATCTACAAGATGTGTCTGTTCACGCCTTTGTGTTTCAGAACTTAAGTTTCGTTCGCTTATGAGCATCCGTGACCTTTAACAAAGAGGTCAGGACTGGAGCGAACTAAAGAATAAATGTGCTCAGGGAGTATTTGCTGTACCACGAGTACCTACTGTATTCTAAAGTCCTCTGCTCTCAGTGCACCCTGTGTGTCTTTATCTCAGCAGTGCGACTCATTGTATACACAAGCTGTGACCGTTACAGGCTGCTATTTTTGCTGGCCTCTGATGCGCCTGAAATGTTATCCTGGAAAATACACACAAGTGTTTGCCGGAAGTGCAGACGAGTGCCAGACACACTCACCCACTTAAGGGACAAAAAAAAACATCCTGTTGATCCTGTGTGTGTGTGCGCTGTGTACACTGAGGGCTGAGCTGAATAATCAGGATCCGTTGTTGTATATTTTTTCTCTCGTTTGCCGCATCTCCTGACAAACCTCTAGGCAACAATATGGGTGGGTTCAAAGTGGGAAAGTAAAGGTG